TAGCTATAGTCACCCTGTTCTAGACGTAGTGGTGCTGCTCTAGACGTATGGCGCATGCCACTGCCTGCCAGCTCGATCTCTCAGCTTGCGTGGCGATGCCGGGGCTTGCTCCTGCGCCCTGCACCATCCAGGATCTTTCTCTCGTCCACCAGCCCTCACCCTAGCGCCGAGGGAGGGGCGCGAATCCGACCCCCGTTACATCTGACCCCCCCCCACACACAGCAGGGTGCTCGCGGGGTCGCGGGGCCCCAGACCCCCGTTTCTTCGGGGGCTTGAGCCCGCCGTGCACGAGCTGTCCCAGCGTCAAGGGCGAGTTCACGAGCGGCAGCTGCGAGGGGGAAGGGAGGAGGAGAGGTCGCGGCGCCCCCTGGGAGCCGCTGCCGCGCTCACGACTCCCTCGACACAGAGCGGGGCCACCAAAGGGGACGGCGAGGGATTGGGGGGGGACGGCCTGGGATTGGGGGGGGCTGTGGGTGAGAGGCAGCGTGCTCCCCCCCCACTCGTCCCCCCCCCACTCGTCCCCCCCCCCACTCGTCCCCCCCCCCCCACTCGTCCCCCCCCCCCACTCGTCCCCCCCCCCCACTCGTCCCCCCCCCCACTCGTCCCCCCCCCCCACTCGTCCCCCCCCCCCACTCGTCCCCCCCCCCACTCGTCCCCCCCTCCCACTCGTCCCCCCCCCCACTCGTCCCCCCCCCCACTCGTCCCCCCCCCCCACTCGTCCCCCCCCCCCCACTCGTCCCCCCCCCCCACTCGTCCTCAGACTCGTCCAGAATCCGCGAGAAACCACGAGAATCCGAGCCCTGCTCGAGCCACAGCGGCTTCGGGAGAAACCAGAAAAACAACGCGCTCCACGCCTTCTAAAAAGTCTCGCCACCGCAGACTCGCAAACCGCGTTGTGTCAAACCACCGCCGGATGGAGACCTCCTCCCACGCCGTTGTCGGCCAGGAGGTTCGTCTCGACTTACTTCGCCACGCACGTGGGTGCCGATTTGAACGTGGGGAGTCTGAACGCCACAACGTGGGGAGTGTGAACGCCACAACGTGGGGAGTAAGAACGCCACAACGTGGGGAGTGTGAACGCCACAACGTGGGGAGTGTGAACGCCACAACGTGGGGAGTGTGAACGCCACAACGTGGGGAGTGTGAACGCCACAATGTGGGGAGTGTGAACGCCACAACGTGGGGAGTAAGAACGCCACAACGTGGGGAGTGTGAACGCCACAACGTGGGGAGTGTGAACGCCACAACGTGGGGAGTGTGAACGCCACAACGTGGGGAGTGTGAACGCCACAACGTGGGGAGTGTGAACGCCACAACGTGGGGAGTGTGAACGCCACAACGTGGGGAGTGTGAACGCCACAACGTGGGGAGTGTGAACGCCACAACGTGGGGAGTAAGAACGCCACAACGTGGGGAGTGTGAACGCCACAACGTGGGGAGTAAGAACGCCACAACGTGGGGAGTAAGAACGCCACAACGTGGGGAGTGTGAACGCCACAACGTGGGGAGTGTGAACGCCACAACGTGGGGAGTGTGAACGCCACAACGTGGGGAGTAAGAACGCCACAACGTGGGGAGTGTGAACGCCACAACGTGGGGAGTGTGAACGCCACAACGTGGGGAGTGTGAACGGCACAACGTGGGGAGTAAGAACGCCACAACGTGGGGAGTGTGAACGCCACAACGTGGGGAGTGTGAACGCCACAACGTGGGGAGTGTGAACGCCACAACGCGGGGAGTGTGAACGCCACAACGTGGGGAGTGTGAACGCCACAACGCGGGGAGTGTGAACGCCACAACGTGGGGAGTAAGAACGCCACAACGTGGGGAGTGTGAACGCCACAACGTGGGGAGTGTGAACGCCACAACGTGGGGAGTGTGAACGGCCTCACTCCCTGCCATCGCTCACGGCTGACAAGCGACTCCGGGGTGGACCGGTCGGGGGGGGGGGGTCCCCGTGACCCCTTCAGGGTCCCTCCAAGACGACCCCCCCCCCAAGCCGAGTGCCGCCAATGGCCCCACCGAGTCTCGTAAACAAGCCGCGGGTGGCGGTGGGGCTCCAGGGCGCGTCACGACCGCGGCACGCGCGAGTAGCACACGTGTTCACACACACGTGTGAACGCGCGTGAACACACACGTGTGAACGCGCGTGAACACACACGTGTGAACGCGCTTACGTGCACCGCTTGCAGGAACGCGCGCAGACGGAGACATTCGCATGAAAAGCAAAGCACGTCCCGACCAAGATAACACGATTCCACCCCTGGAGACGAAGCAGAGCGTTGGGGCAAGCGCTGCTAGCGAGTAGCACCGATGAAGGCCAACACGGTACACGAAGGGGTGGGTGGCCAGCACCACGCCCGGCCGCCTTTGTCTCCCCAGTGCTGAAGTTTTCACACCATACCAGGTGCGGGACTCAAACTCGGGTCACCAAGGACGTAGCGCAGTGCGCTAACCATTAAGCCAACACTCCCCATAAACACGTGTGTTATAACACAACAACAACAAAAACAAAGATCCCCCGTACAGCCTTAACATGCTTTTGGAGCAAGTGCTGTTCACGAGCGCCGACGGAGGCCGAGAGGGCGGTGGGTGGCGAGCACCACGCCCGCCACCCACCCCCACACACACACGTATACACACGTACACACACACGTATACACGCGTACACACACACGTATACACATCCACACACGTATACACATCCACACGTATACACATCCACACGTATACACACGTATACACATCCACGCGTATACACACACGTATACACATCCACACGTATACACACACGTATACACATCCACACGTATACACATCCACGTATACACATCCACACGTATACACACGTATACACACGTAAACACACACGTATACACATCCACACGTATACACACGCACACTTAGTGCACACACACGTCAACACACACGTATACACACGTATACACACACGTATATACACACGTATACACATCCACACGTATACACACGTCAACACACACACGTATACACACGCACACGTAGTGCACACACACGTCAACACACACGTATACACACGTATACACATCCACACGTATACACACGTCAACACACACACGTAGTGCACACACACGTCAACACACACGTATACACACGTACACACACGTATACACACGCACACGTCAACACACACACACGTATACACACGTATACACATTCACACGTAGTGCACACACATACACGTATACACACGTAAACACATCCACACGTAGTGCACACACACACGTATACACACACGTATACACATACACACGTATACACACGTATACACACGTATATACACGTAAACACACCCACACGTAGTGCACACACACACACGTATACACACGTATACACACACGTATACACATACACACGTAGTGCACACACACACGTATACACATACACACGTAGTGCACACACACACGTAGTGCACACACACACGTATACACATACACACGTAATGCACACACACACGCACACACACGTCAACACACATACACTATACACACGTATACACACGTCAACACACCCACACGTATACACACGTATATACATACGTAGTGCACACACGTATACACACACGTAGTGCACACACGTATACACACACGTAGTGCACACACGTATTCACACACGTAGTACACATCCACACGTATACACACACGTTAACACATCCTCACGCCGACATGCACGGTACATACCCACGTATATACACACACCCCCCTGTGTAAACATGTACACACACTCAGAGACACAACACACGTACACAGATACACATAGACATTAACGTAAACCCGCGCGACCAAACACACGGTACACACGCGCACATTGACATACACACGCGCACATATACATACACACGTATACACACCAGAACACACACACACCAGTACACACACACGGACACACACACCAGTACACACCGGCCCCATCATGGAGGCAGGGATGACACTCAGCTTGATGACAGCCGCTCCGACTCTTCCTCGCCCAGGGAAGGTTCGGGATCTACGTGGGTCGAGGGGTAGTGGATGGGTCGGGAAGACTATCGCGGGGGGCCTCCTTCGCCAGAAGCGCCCACCCCGCATGGCACGGGGAGCTGCTGCTGCTGATGGTGGTGTCCGCTCTTGTTGTTGTTGTTGTGCCGGGGATTGGTGGAGCCGAGGAGGCGGTGACCGCGCTGGGCGGGAACGTTCAAACTCGGAACGCGGGGAACGCGGGGCGCGGTTGATGTTCCAGCGATGCCGGAGACGATTTAGAGTTTGTTTTCGGCAAAAAAAAATGCAAATGTCTCTATCGCCAACAAAAGGTGGGCAGAGAGGGGGGGGGGGGAGGCAAAATTTTCCATCGTCAATGTTTCGCTTTTGCAGCACGAGAGACATCGCCTTGCAGCACAGCGAATCGAGCCACGGCGCCAAATCCGCTGCACACCACCACGTGAGATAGCTGTGCAAGTTCACCAGCCTCGGGGACTCTCTCTCACTCGGTGGTTTGTTTTGCAGTCATCTGCTAATCGCACATCCGTTTAGCACTGTTAGCTACGTACTGTGTGAAAGAAGCTCAACACGTACATCTGGCCCGCCCAAAATTAGTTCAAGTAACATTTTTTTTAATCATATTTATGTTTGTGCAGTATTTTCGATTCTCTCAAACGGGGTTTGGTTGTTTTTGTTCGGATTTTCGTTTTTTGTGTTATTATATTTGTCATTCTGGTGACCCGGGTCACTTGCGATTGAGACTCTCACCTGGTTAAACAAACTTGCAATTAAGTAGCAAACCCTGAACCAGTGTTGGCTTCATAAGTGTCATCATTCAGAGTACGGTTCGTTAAATGTCGCCAGATGAGCGCGAACAAAATAAACGATAGTTGATCATCAAACCATAAATACCACGCAGATGGAACAGTCCAGACCACTCAGACGACAGACGCTAAATCATGAAGCCACATAGACCAGTCAACACAAAACCAGAGACCAGACAGACGCTTAGATCAAATGAACACTTTACTCAGAGTGCGGAGCCGCCCTCTCATTCGTCTCACACAAGTGGGGAAATTGCAATCACAAACACAACGCATTTCATCAGAACTCACAAGCGCGTTGGAGGCCTGGATCGGGGGATAAATTTACAGATGGCACGGACCGACGGGGGGGACACACATGCGTTTTTCCTCATCCGTGACTCGCGGTCCTGAGAATCCTGGCCTTTAATTTGAAACGTGGAGCCCAGGTTGAGGGGGGGCAACGTGTACAGCGGAGGAGGGGGCCTGGAAGACGCCGCGTGAAGGTGAAGCTACAGGGGTGTGGGGTGCATCGCGTTGGAAGAGGTGGAGCTCCTGGCTGGGTGGTGGTGGGGGTAAGGGTGACGAAGGGCCCAGGATTCGCTCCATGGGGACGGTGGAAGCCCTGGGTGAGGGGTTGCTCAAGGCCCTGGAGCACAACATTCCTCAAGGTGTGGGGTGGCATCAACAACACTCGGCATGATGACCTCTTAACCTTGAATCTCTCTGAGACCTCGAGTGGGTGTTAGTTCAGGGCCGGGGCAGTATTCAGTTCCACTAGTGGTGGCAAATATTTAGTGACACCAGTTTCTGTGTGTGGCCAACAAGCGTGGATTATGTGATGGCATGTTTATTAAAATAAGACATGATTCACTATAATCGATGATTTAATGATCTCGGTACAATTCAAGTGTTGCCATCTCAGGTGGTACCAACGAGTTAAATGCTTGGTCATTGCCCATGGACTTTGCAGGGAAGGTGGAGGCCCTGGAGCCACTATGTAGAGAAGATGGAGCCCCAGGGAGTGGGAAGGTTTGAGGCCCAGGGACCGTGAAGGTGGAGGCCCTGGGACTGGGAAGGTGGAGGCCCAGAGAGCAGGAAGACGGAGGCCCAGGGACCGTGAAGGTGGAGGCCCAGGGACCGGGAAGGTGGAGGCTCCGGAGCCGCCGCTACGAGGAGGAGGAGGAGCCAGAGCGGAGCAGCACGCGGTGCCGGGTTACGGCTTCCAGGCGGCGGCGGTTGGCCTCCTGCACATGTTGCTGCATCTTCCACGTGGGGAAGGAGACGGTGGAGCGGCGCTGCGTCATCAGCTGCGAGTGCTGGAGCCACGGCAGCGACACGCACTCCGGCACGGTCGGGCGGCCCCTGTGAGTGCACACACACGCACACGCACACATACACATACACACGCACACGCACACACGCACACACGCACACGCACACACACACACACGCACACACACACACACGCGTGCGTAGTGTGTGACGGGGCAGGCATCGGGGTTCAAAGTCGAGACGCGATCGTGGCCGGCGCCGTCGATGGCGCCGCACCTTTCCAGCGCTTCCGACCGCGAGCTCCTGCAGAATGTTGTGGAGTTGACAATGTCCCTCAAGGGCCGCTATTACTTCCTGCCACTGTATCTGGCTTCAGATATTCCCCTTGGTTATAGGGGTTAACAGAGGTATATGGGTTATGTTCACTAAAAGTTCCAAGCTTAATTTACGATGAAAGCTGGTTCCAAACACAGCTGATTAGAACGCAAGCGGCAGGGGACTGTGGCGTGTTTGGAACAAAGAGAATCTGTTAGGAACCGAAACAATATTCAGGTGGGGATGACAGAGGATAAGAGGAGCCTGCTTACTGGTGTCATCTCAGGCCTCGATATATCAGTGACAGGGAAATAAATGCTCCGGGCTTCATCAAGATTCAACGTAAACACAACTTGATTTGAGCAGGTCGGTTGAGAACGCAACATTCACAAGGATTTATTTACGTCAGATTTACGGATCAAGAGTGCTGACGTCTGCATCAACAGCAATGGAACAAATTTGGAATCGGGCGCCTGATTGGAGCCCAGGCCCCGGTGTATAAACTTGGGATGTGAGAGAGCTCTCTGTGCTGTGGGTGTGGAGTGTGTGTGTGTGGAGTGTGTGCGCTGTGTGTGTGGAGTGTGTGTGTGCCGTGTGTGGAGTGTGTGCTGTGGGTGTGTGTGGAGTGTGTGGAGTGTGTGTGTGCCGTGTGTGGAGTGTGTGTGCTGTGGGTGTGTGTGGAGTGTGTGTGCTGTGGGTGTGTGTGGAGTGTGTGGAGTGTGTGTGTGTGGAGTGTGTGTGCCATGTGTGTGTGGTGCAGGGAGTGTGTGCGTTGTGTGTGTGGAGTGTGTGTGTGCCGTGTGTGGAGTGTGTGCGCTGTGTGTGGAGTGTGTGCGCTGTGTGTGGAGTGTGTGCCGTGTGTGGAGTGTGTGTGCTGTGGGTGTGTGTGGAGTTTGTGTGTGTGTGTGTCGTGTGTGGACTGTGTGTGGAGTGTGTGTGGAGTGTGTGTGGAGTGTGTGTTGAGTCTGTGTTGAGTCTGTGTGGAGTGTGTGTGGAGTGTGTGTTGAGTCTGTGTTGAGTCTGTGTTGAGTGTGTGTGGAGTGTGTGTGGAGTGTGTGGAGTGTGTGTTGAGTCTGTGTTGAGTCTGTGTTGAGTCTGTGTTGAGTGTGTGTGGAGTGTGTGTGGAGTGTGTGTGGAGTGTGTGTTGAGTGTGTGTGCTGAGTGTGTTGAGTGTATGTGGAGTGCGTGATGAGTGTGTTTGGAGTGTGTGTGCCGTGTGTGTGGAGCGCACGTCGTGTGTGTGTATGGAGTGTGTGCCGTGTGTGTGGAGTGTGTGTGTGTGTGGAGTGTGTGCCGTGTGTGTGTGTTGGCTGGGCGCGTACTGGGGGTAGAGACACAGGACCCTTCGGAGGAAGAAGAGCGCCGTCTGGGATACGTTGACGTAACACCGTGTAATGTCGGGCCGGCACTGTCGGATGTTCTTCTCCGTCTCCTCGTCGTTGGCACCGAGGAACGGCGACTCCCCGCTCAGCCTACACACTCAAGTGGCGGGCCACGGACAGGAGGGGCGAAGGCCGAGATGGCACGGGAGCGGGAGGATGCTCTCAATCTGGCATCGGCCCAGCACTGGGGCTCAGCACTTTCCCTCCGCCTGAATGTGGGTAGCTCTCTGGCAGCTGCAGCCACTGCTGTGTTTGAACATTAAGAATAATAGAGTAAAAACAGCCGTGCAATTTATGAAGCTTTATTATGCCACGATTCTTCTCAGCGGTAGCCGAGAGGCTCAGGGGTCAGGGCGATGAGCCAGTACGGTCGAGAGCCGGGGTTTGAATGCAGGTAGCAGCCACCTGTGATTAAACCGGGTTCTCAAGCGTGGCGAGTTGATGGGCTCAACCTGGCATGTCACCAATGAATGTACAATCATTCTTGTTTTTCGTTCAATGTGGCTCATTCCAGGTGTTGAAAATGTCTCATTCTGACCGAGTCACCCTTGAAAAAGCTCCTGAGGTCAATGGCCGTTACTCGGGAAATACATTCCTGACTTATTTTGGCCTCGATTGAGAATATACGCAAGGCACGTGAAGGTGCTCGAAGTGTGGATAGAGACTTCAATAGTCATTGTGTGATATCCTCCTCCAAGGCCATTCTCTGACACAAGGTGGTACACTGCCAGCTGAGTTCTGAATGGAAGTGTATTTATCTCGTGAGGTCACGTTGACAGGAGAGTCCTCCAGAGGGTTGTTTCACTAATTACAATTTAAGGTAATGCTTTTGGGTGTGGTAGGAAACTGTCGCACCCAGAGAAAATCCGCACGTGACATGCCAGGGAACATCGCTCGGGAGCTCTGCACGGACGGGCTCACAAAACCCCTTGCTCTACTGCCATCTCCTGGCCATCTCAACCCAGCCGGGTATGGGAATTTCACATATCTCTGCGTCACCCACCAACCATTTACTCCAAATCTATGGACCACAGGCACGCTACCACCACAATTACGGCCTGTAGCCAGGGACTCTATGAGATGATAGGACAATAGTCTTGAGTCCATAATTGGCAAAAAGTAACGGCAAAGTGTCTCAAAATTGTGCGCAGTTGCGTATGCTATACACGACTTCCCTGAAGGCATAAACACCTCCAGCGAGCGCGATGCCGATCACACAGCGCGGTTCGAATTCGACGCTCGATCGATGGCTGCGCCGTCGCCGGACACGCGTCGAGTATAAAGCAAGGGACAAGTCCTCACTAGCAACTCCGTTCATTTTTCATTGCTGGAGGGGTTGCCCCCCACTACCTGGGGCATGTGTTTTGAGTCCATACTTTCATTACCTCAAATCAACTTGGAATGTTCAACCTCCATAGACCCCGCCCCTTTCACGTAGCCCCTCCCCATTACTCTGTAGTCACACCCCCTTCATAATTAAGCCCCACCCCTTCCTGATTCGACCCCCCCCATCTCTTCAGCGTCTTTCCTTTTAGACCCCGCCCTTTCTTCGTTAAGCCCTGCCCCTTTCGGTGTAGGCCCCGCCCCTTCCACCAGACACAGGGTGGGGCTGGCTTGGGTATTGGTGAGGGGCTGTGGATGCGGTGGGCAGGGGGCAGTAGGGGTAAGGGGCAGTAGGGGTAAGGGGCAGTAGGGGTAAGGGGCAGTAGGGGTAAGGGGCAGTAGGGGTAAGAGGCAGTAGGGGTAAGGGGCAGTAGGGGTAAGAGGCAGTAGGGGTAAGGGGCAGTAGGGCTAAGGGGCAGTAGGGGTAAGGGGCAGTAGGGGTAAGGGGCAGTAGGGGTAAGGGGCAGTAGGGGTAAGGTGCAGTAGGGGTAAGGGGCCGTCCATAAATGACGTCACGCGATTTTGGACGATTTTTGACCCCGCCCCCGTCGTCACAAAAAGTCAGACCCCCGCCTCAAATATGACGTCACAAAGCTCTGCCCCCCCACTCCAAAAATAAAACCTGCTTCAAATCGCTTTAAACTATTGTTGTCATTGTAGTGCCTATTTAATGTGGCGCTGCACTCCGATGTTGTAGGAGAAAACATTTATTAAAAAGTCTATTTAATTAAGTAGAACGTGTTGTCTATATTTATTTAAAGTTGCGCATTTTGATGTGACGTCACAGACCTCTACCCCCCCCCCCCCCTTGTCTCACATCCTCACAAATGTCTGACCCTGCCCCCCGGTGCGTGACGTAATTTATGGACGGCCCCTAAGGGCGGGGCGTCTTTACAACGACCCCCACTCCCCCTCGTAAGAGCGAGTGGAGGAAGGTGGGGGAGGGACTCACAGCACGAAGGTGAGCACGGCCAGGCCCCACACGTCAGCGGGGGCTCCCACGGCGTCCCCCTTCACCATCTCAGGAGCTGCACACACGCAGAGCACACAAACACACGCAGAGCACGCAAACACACGCAGAGCACGCAGAGCACGTAAACACACGTAGAGCACGCAAACACACACAGAGCACGCAAACACACAGAGAGCACGTAAACACACACAGAGCACGTAAACACACACAGAGCACGTAAACACACACAGAGCACGCAAACACACACAGAGCACGCAGAGCACGCAAACACACGCAGAGCACGTAAACACACACAGAGCACGTAAACACACACAGAGCACACAAACACACACAGAGCACGCAAACACACACAGAGCACGCAAACACACGCAGGGCACGTAAACACACACAGAGCACACAAACACACACAGAGCACGCAAACACACGCAGAGCACGCAAACACACACAGAGCACGCAAACACACACAGAGCATGCAGACACACGCAGAGCACACAAACACACACAGAGCACGCAAACACACACAAAGCACGCAGAGCACGCAAACACACACAAAGCACGCAGAGCACACAAACACACACAGAGCACGCAGACACACACAGAGCACGTAAACACACGCAGAGCACGCAAACACACACAGAGCACACAAACACACACAGAGCACACAAACACACGCAGAGCACGTAAACACACACAGAGCACGCAAACACACGCAGAGCACGCAAACACACACAGAGCACACAAACACACACAGAGCACGTAAACACACGCAGAGCACGTAAACACACACAGAGCACACAAACACACGCAGAGCACACAAACACACACAGAGCACGTAAACACACGCAGAGCACGTAAACACACGCAGAGCACGCAGACACACACAGCACACAAACACACACAGAGCACACAAACACACACAGAGCACACAAACACACACAGAGCACATAAACACACACAGAGCACGTAAACACACACAGAGCACGCAGACACACACAGAGCACGCAAACACACGCAGAGCACGCAAACACACACAGAGCACACAAACACACGCAGAGCACGTAAACACACACAGAGCACACAAACACACACAGAGCACGTAAACACACACAGAGCACACAAACACACACAGAGCACGTAAACACACGCAGAGCACGTAAACACACGCAGAGCACGTAAACACACGCAGAGCACGCAGACACACACAGCACACAAACACACACAGAGCACACAAACACACACAGAGCACACAAACACACACAGAGCACGTAAACACACACAGAGCACGTAAACACACACAGAGCACACAAACACACACAGAGCACGTAAACACACGCAGAGCACGTAAACACACGCAGAGCACGCAGACACACACAGCACACAAACACACACAGAGCACACAAACACACACAGAGCACACAAACACACACAGAGCACATAAACACACACAGAGCACGTAAACACACACAGAGCACGCAGACACACACAGAGCACGCAAACACACGCAGAGCACGCAAACACACACAGAGCACACAAACACACGCAGAGCACGTAAACACACACAGAGCACACAAACACACACAGAGCACGTAAACACACACAGAGCACACAAACACACACAGAGCACGTAAACACACGCAGAGCACGCAAACACACAGAGAGCACGCGGCGTGACCACGCGAGTGGCCCAGAGGCCTCTCCCAGCCACACTCCCCTTCAGTCACAAACGCCGCTCCCCTGCAGGAAACTGGCAGCCCAGAGTGTGGCGAGGCTGCTTGCAATGCCCATAAATGGGGGTGGGGGGTTAGGAGCTCTCGAACGTCGAAGAGATGGAGCGTGGGGCAGCGACGTTGGGACCGGCACGAGCCGTGCCACTGCGTGCATCGAGTCTGGAGAAGCCATTCCTGCAAAAGCGTGTGTGACTGGACAATGATCGTTGACGGTGTGAATGATGAATTGTACTTCACAGTACTCACAATAAAGACCCGCACAGGGCCTACAAGCCAACACGGAGACCCATAGACTCGCGTAGAGAGCCATACTACGCGATAATGTGATGTGCGGGGGTGTGGCCACACGTGACACCTCTGTGCCCGCGCAACATCACGCACTGTCCCCGACCTTGACCCTGCGGCCTTGCACTCTGACCCCTAAGTTCCCGTGCCCTCCGCGCTCACCCGAGTGCTCCAGGGTGCCGGTGCGCGGCACGATGGGCCGCGGGGCACCGCTGGGCGCGAACGAGCGGGCGCTGCCAAAGTCCACGAGCTTGAGCTTCCGCGAGTCGGACACGATGAGGTTGTCGGACTTGATGTCGAGGTGCACGATGTGGCGCTCGTGTAGGTAGGCGAGCGCGAGCAGCAGCTGCGACAGGTAGCCCACCACGTCGTCCTCCGTGTAGCGTGGGCTGCGGGTACAATTGTTATTAAAGTCGCTATGATAACCGTTATCAGCTATAATGATGGAAAAACCACAAGGCATGCGCCCGATTACGTCGCATCTTGCAAGCTAAGCAGGTCTCTACCTGGATAGTGCTTTGAAGGGTGACCACGATGCGTGCCAGGTCGCTATAGGTGGCGCCTGTGGTATGTAGCATCAGCAGAGGGCCACGCAGTAAAAAAAACAATGCTCCCCTGCTTTCACCAACACACAGAGGAGCGTGGTGAAATATTGTCAAGTAACCCAGTTGGCCCTCATCCGGCAGTGGATTGACACAGGGCTGAGAAAGACAAATACAATATCCGTGACCGCCGTATGGCTCACGCGTACGGGGTGGACGCCGTGAGAGCTTTAGGTGCCACCGAGTTTGTTCGGAGGCCATCCTCGAGTCCCCTCTCCACCACAGCCCCGAGACTCGCACCTCTCGAGCAGCTTGTAGAAAAGCTCCTTGCCGGGGCAGCGCTCGGCGATGAGCACGAGGTAGCGCGGGGTGACGTACGCCTCGTGGAGACCCATGATGTGCTCTTGTCGCAGGGCCTTGAGGACCTCGTACTCGTGCAGCGCCAAGGCCCGGGAGGCAGCCTCCAGTGGCACGATCTTGGCCGTGAACACGCGGCCCGTGGCGTTCTCCTTGCACTCACGAATCACGCCGAAGCGACCCCTGCGCACACGAGCGCACGCCCTCGGTGACCCCCCTCCCCGTGACCGGTAACAATACCGGATCGGTAACAACATCGAGTGTCGAGTGCGAGTGAACGCGTGCACCGCACCCCCGACTTAGCACGGTTGGCTACGTACGGTGCGAAAGAAGTTCAACACAAATGCACCGGCACCCGACGCACCTGGCGCGTTCCTCCAGGAATGTGTACGGCTTCTGTGCGGTTCCTGGCTGGGACCTCGGCTGGGACCCCGGCTGGGACCCCGGCTGGGACCCCGGCTGGGACCCCGGACCCCGGTTCTGCTCTAGGGGCGGCGCCTCTTCCCGCCGCTCCGCCTCCGGGGGCCGCACTGCATCCGCACGGTTCGCACACTCGCGTCAACCCGGCGACCCGGCAAGGGTCACGTGACCCACTGAGACAGCGCGAGCCGCGGGCTTGGCACCAACGGCGAGGGGGGGTTTGGGAGAGCGGCGATGTCCGTCCACACCTGCCAGGGTGATGCGCTCCGAGGAGAGGCTGGCGGGGCCACGTCCCGCCTTGTTGACGCAAGACACACGGAACTTGTAGACGGCGCCGGGCGCCAGGCGCGTCACGTTGTAGTAAGGGTCCACGATGCTCGACGCCACCTGCGCCCACGCGGTCTCACCTGGGAGGGAGTGGTGGGGAGCCAGAGGCCACGTGAGCCATGGGGGGGGGGGGGGGCGGCAGGATCCAGTGGCGGAGTCTTGCAGACGCGTTTCTAATTCCGGTTTAATGGCAACGCGCGGTCCCTTAAACTCAACGGTGGCGTTCGCCGATGTAAAGCTGCCACAGCTTACGGTGGCAGCTTTTAAAGTGTGGATCATGCGTGGTTATTCATTGAGAATCAAATATGCACTCTGCCCAATGCTACGCAGGATTTGGGCAGCATGAGGAGTCCGTTGAGGATAGAGCCGTGATAAGGGCCCGGGCCGCGGCCGCTCCGTACCCAGCTTCTTCATCTCGAGGCAGTAGGCCAGCGGGCCCTGCGCCTGCGAAGCTTTCCACACGACGAGCGCGCCCTCTTGGAACACCTGCGGCACCTCGGGCTGTCCGGGCCGGCCTGGCAGCTCTATGGCGCAGGGGGACACAAGGGGACACAGGGGACACAGGGGGACACAGGGGGACACAGGGGGACACAGGGGACACAGGGGGACACAGGGGGACACAGGGGACACAGGGAGACACAGGGGGACACAGGGGGACACAGGGGGACACGAGGGGGACGCAGGGGGACACGAGGACACGGTGTTGACCTTGCGAGAGCGTGCGGGGCGCTTCACGGAGGTTCCGGCGGACGCACGCGTGCAGGAGCGTGGCACGGACTCACACGTGGCACGGACTCACGAGTGGCACGGACTCACACGTGGCACGGATTCACACGTGGCACGGACTCACGCGTGGCACGGACTCACGAGCGTGGCACGGACTCACACGTGGCACGGACTCACACGTGGCACGGACTCACACGTGGCACGGACTCACACGTGGCACGGACTCACGAGCGTGGCACGGACTCACACGTGGCACGGACTCACACGTGGCACGGACTCACACGTGGCACGGACTCACGAGTGGCACGGACTCACACGTGGCACGGACTCACGAGTGGCACGGACTCACACGTGGCACGGACTCACACGTGGCACGGACTCACGCGTGGCACGGACTCACGAGCGTGGCACGGACTCACACGTGGCACGGACTCACACGTGGCACGGACTCACACGTGGCACGGACTCACACGTGGCACGGACTCACACGTGGCACGGACTCACGGGCGATCTTCACGGCGCACGTCGTGGAGGCGGTGCCCGCGCGGTTCTTAGCGACGCACTCGTAGGTGCCGGCGTCTCGCTTCCCGGCGCCCAGCACCGTGAGCAGCTGGCGCCCGTCCGCCGAGACGGACAGCGTGGTGCGCGTGTCCAGCCGCACCGCCTTTGTGTCTGCGGGGCGACACCGGGATGTGGCCACGCGCAGACGCGCGCACAGACAAAAATCATCCCCCGTGTAGCCACACTGACTGCTGGGGCAAGCGCTGTGAGCAGCGGACGCCAACTGCTGAGACAGGAATGGAATATGAACAAACAGTGGCCACAACCCATGACCGTTTTTCTCTCCCCACCATTAACGTTTAGACGACGCACCAGATACTCGTTCAATACAGTACAATTTGGATTTCTAACGTGTTTCAATGCAACTACATCCCAGAGCCGAGTTGACGTGGAGCATGCCTAAGACAGGTTCGGTGTCGTTCGTCAGTGACAAGTTACCTGGGAATTGAACCCAGGTCACCAAGGTCCTAGCGTCGTACATGTCCCACTGAAACCACTGCTCCCCATCACAGTGCATGCACAGGCGACCTCATGTGACCCCAATGTGTAAACACCTTGACGCTGATTCTATAAACTCGGTCATACTTGTGCCCACAAAGGGCGCCACGGTGGCGAGATGTTAACTACCTCGCCTGGTTTACAGGAGGCCGTGTGTTCCTTCCCGACCCTGACGCCTGCTGCTGTATATTTGGAGTTTGCGTGTTCTCACCGTGGTCGCGTGGATTTTTCTCCGGGTCCTCCGGTTTTCCCCTCTACATTTAGAAACGTGCGGTTTAGAGTATTTGGCTGCTGTAAATTTCCACGCGATGAGCCACTTCGTTGAGCTATCGTTTGTGGCCAGGTCGCTTCTGAAAAAGAGCTGTATAGCTCAGTGGGCCTTACCTGGTAAAACATTTGTTTTTAGCTTAGCTTCATAAGTTAAAAGTGACATGGCCACACACGTACTGCTGGGCACCCTGGCCCTCGCTCCGTCCGTCCATCTCCGAGGCCGCGCGTACCTTTGAGCCAGTGCACGGTGGGCGCCGGCTCGCCTGCGGGGAGGCAGTGCAGGGTGAGCGGCTGTCCCTCCACCAGCAGCTCGTCCTTCAGCTCCATGAGGAACGTCGGCGCGGAATCTGCACGGGGAAACGCCTCTCGAGTCAGACGCCGCCCAGCGGACCCACAAATAGCCTGCGAGCCGACAGGGTTAGTCGGTACCACCCAGGGTGGCAAATGCTACTCGTGCCCACCAAGGGCAGTGCCCACCCTGGGCAGACATCTTAGCGTGTGTACCGTCAGTTTGGCTTGCACACGTAATATTTGTATTCACATTTCCCCAAAGCGATGTTCTCTTACAAAAGTATGACGTGGTCACCTTAGAACAACAACTACCCCATCACAAAGCGACCCCAGTGACCTTGCTATCGCTCACTTTCATGACACAGAGATAAAATGCTTCAGGAAAATCAGTGTCAGAACTGGCCACCCCGGGTGGTACTGATAACTAATTTTCAGGCCCAAGACCAAGAACAGCAGCAGTGAGTATGCTTTAATGACGTGTGCAGGTACCACCACCTGTGCAGGGTTGCGGTCCTCTGACCGGAACAGGTTTGTTCGCTATCACCGTGCCGTTAGCAGTGAACACCTATCACTGAGGCAGGAATAGTATACGAAACTATGTTTTATTTTAGCAGGTAAGGCCCACTGAGCTATGTAGCTCTTTTTCATAAGCGACTTGACCTCAAATGACAGCTCAATAAAGTGGCTTATCATACGGACATTTATAGCAGCCAATACTCTAAAGCATGTTTTTAAATATGGAGGGAAAATCCGGAGGACCTGGAGAGAAATTCACACGACCACGGGGAGAGAGACACGCAAACTCCAAATATACAGGCATCACAGTTGGGATCGAACCCACGATCCATGTATACCAGGCGAGGTAGTTAACATCTCGCCACCGCAAACAAACTGTGGCCACAACTACGCCTGGCCATTTTTGTCGCCCCATCATTAACTTTTAGACCAGATACTCATTCAATACCGAACAATTTGGATTTCGAGAACCAGCTTAATTAAAGTGTCTCGCTCGGCCCATTGTTAACCTCCTGAAATCCTTGCGAATCCCCCGCGTGGTGAAGGCTCGTTAGTCATTCACCTTTAGTGAGACAGCTCGCATATTGTTAGCTTTGGTAAAGACTTGAGAGTTTTTTAGACTGACCGATATTACACTTTATTATTAATCAGATCGATATCATCTCCATCCAATCCGACGACACTCACCACCCACCACCAAAAACGGCGCGTGCACGGCGAGTGCCTGCCGGGTGCGTAGTCGGTGCATCTGCATTGGCCGTGCAACATCCGGAGTGGCCCAGGCACCGGCTATAGAAGAGGGGACCCACATTTCATTTTTCACCGCTCGCACCGCGGTCTCACGGGGGCCGTGCTACGCCGCTGGCCGCGTGAGCGTCGGCTCCATGTTGAGACATGGCACCTCCAATTAGCACGTTTGGCTACGTACATTGTGAAAGAAGTTCAACGTAAATACAACATGCGTACCTGTGTCAGATGGCGGCGTAGCTGGCTCCTGGGGTTGTGCGGTGGGGCCCGTGTCCCTACGGCCACCCGGCCGCCCGCGGTGTACGCCCCAGCGCTCCCAGGGCGACCTCTTCTCAGACTCGCCTTCACGTGCAACAACAGCGACACGCGGGTCACTCACCACGCCGTGCACGGGCCAGGGCAGCGAGCTCGCCTCCAAGTACCACCGGGCATTCACTGCTCTCACAATCATTTCCTGGGCCACCCAACACGCAACCTCTGAACTCCATCCCCTGCACCACCCAACACACAACCTCTGAACCCCATCGCCTCCACCATTCAACACACAACCTCTGAACCCCATCCCCCGCACCACCCAACACACAACCTCTGAACTCCATCCCCTGCACCACCCAACACACAACCTCTGAACTCCATCCCCTGCACCACCCAATACACAATCTCTGAACCCATCCCCTCCACCACCCAACACACAACCTCTGAACACATCCCCTCCACCACCCAACACACAACCTCTGAACCCCATCACCTCCACCACCCAACACACAACCTCTGAACTCCATCCCCTGCACCACCCAACACACAACCTCTGAACTCCATCCCCTGCACCACCCAACACACAACCTCTGAACTCCATCCTCTGCACCACCCAACACACAACCTCTGAACTCCATCCCCTGCACCACCCAACACACAACCTCTGAACCCATCCCCTGCACCACCCAACACACAACCTCTGAACTCCATCCCCTCCACCACCCAACACACAACCTCTGAACCCATCCCCTGCACCACCCAACACACAACCTCTGAACTCCATCCCCTGCACCACCCAACACACAACCTCTGAACCCCATCGCCTCCACCACCCAACACACAACCTCTGAACCCCATCGCCTGCACCACCCAACACACAACCTCTCATTGTTGGGAAGGGGGAAATGTTTTCTGGAGCTTAGCGCTGGACAGTCCCGAGTACCACCGAAGATCGCCCATTCAGTTGCGTTTAGGACGAGGTGGTGATGGCTACGTAGACAGAGGGCAGCAGAGGGCAGTGCAGAAAAAAAAGTGTTGTACTACACTTCTGTGCTCCCTATGCTGTGTGCCGTGCCCGCACCCGGAGGCTCACCTGATGATGCTGCCCCGGCCGAGCCTGCAGACTTCCCGGGGAGGAAGAGTTCGGACGTTGCCTTCTTCATGGTGCTCGGTGCCGGCGCCGCCGCCTCGGGCTTCCTCTCGGTCAGGTCGTTCGGGAGCTTTTCTGCTTCGCTCTCCGATCTCCGTTTCGAAAACCTTTCCTCCGAGCGGCTGCGACCGATCGAGAACGAGAAGCCCGACACGGTGGCCTCGATCCTCTTCCGAATCGACTCGTGGTCTCGCTTCAGAGGCTGCTCCGGGTCCCGGACGTCACCTCCCACGCTCCTCGACTCCGAGTCTTCCCGCGCCGCACGCTCCACGCTCTTCTGCCTCTCCTTGGAGCTGCTGCGCCCGAACGTGAGCGAGAGGCGTCTCCCCAGACCCGGGGTTTCTTTCCCATCGTCCTCTGTGCCCGTATGGCCCAGGTCGAGAGCCTTCCGTTCCGAGGATACGGAGCGCTTCACCTTCAGCGACAGCCTCCGCACGAAACCGCCGTCCTTGTCTTCCACGGACGGCGTGGACGACGCCTTCTGAGACGGGGTCTCCGGGCGCCGCGCCTCCTCCGTCTCCCCTCTCTGCAAATGTTCTTCCTGGACGATTCGAACGGGCGCGTTGGCCTGCCGGGGTCGGTACACCTCCTCCTCCTCCGTGCGGTACGGCTTGGCGGGCGGCTCCTCTGCCTTGGTCTTCTTCATGAAGGGGAAGATGCGCGTCAGGGACGACTCGCGATGCTTCTTGAACTTGGCCTCGAACACCGCCTCGGAGTCGATGTCCTCGATGTGCGGCAGCCTCCTCTCGGCGGACGTGGACCGCGGCCTACCAGCGTCCCCGTGTTGCAGCGCGGACAGCGCCGGCGCCGACGGGGTCCGGCGCAGCTCGGATGAGGGGGCGACCCCCGTCGGGACGAGCGGACCGAAGCCGGGGCCCTGAGTCGCCCTGGAGCCACCCTGGTGCCCGGCAGGCGAGTCCACGGACGCCATCTTCTGCTTCAGGAGCGCTCGCTTCTGGGAAGTGTCGGAGAATGGCATGGGTACGGGGGCCGGTGCGGGGGCCGGCGCGGAGGCCGGCGCGGGCATGGGAGACGCCGGGCCCGCGGGGCCACCGCCGGGATCGCGTGTCTCTCTCGTGGCCGGAGCGAGCGGCGGCTCTGGCGCGGAGAACCCGGCCTCGCCGGGCTGAGCACCGTGCTCCTGCTTGAGCACGCGGGCGCCCCCGAGCGCCGCGCGGGACGCTTCGTGCGGATGCTCCGACTCCTTCCGCGGAGGCCGCACTCGCTGTGCCGCCCCGCCGGTCGTGGCGCTCTCTCCGTCCGGCTCCGTCGCGGTCGGCTCCGTCACCCTGATGACGGGAATCACGGAGCCGCGTGGAGCCGTCGGGGCGGTGCCAGCAGTGGGCGACCGCTGCGGGAGGGAGAGGGGCTCGTGCGCCCCGGGAGGTACGGGGCCGTTTCTCGCTTGCGACGCCGACGACGACGGCGGCGTCGCGACCGCCCCCGCCGCGGGCGAGGCCCCCTCCGTCGCGGCCACAGGCGATGCTCCCACGGGGGGCCCGGTCAGCGGAGCGGGCGTCGTGGGACGCGACGGCGGGGCCGACTCGGGCGACCGTTCTTCCCGCAGTCCCGGGCTGGGTGCCGTCGCGGTCTCCGTTTGCCCATCCGCCCGCTCCTTCTGGGCCTCGGCGGCGGAGGCGACGCGGAGCGGGATCTCCAGGGGTCCCCCCATGAAGCGCCGGTGCATGGGCACCTCCTCGCCGTGCGTGAACGAGGAGCTCTTCCGCATGCGGCCACGGTCACGCTGCTGCTGCTGCTCCTGCTGCTGCTCCTGCTGCTGCCGCGGCTGCCGCTGTGGGTCGGGCCGTTCCCCGGGGAGGTTGGTGAGGCTGCCCTCGCCCGTCGGCGTGCCGGCCCCGCTCCGGTCGGGCCTGGGCGGCCGGTCCGCGTAGCGGTCGAGGGAGAGGCTGCGCCACCCCCGCAACCCCGGCGCCGACCTTTGCGCCTCCGCCTCGGGGCCGTCGGGCGCCAGGCCGAGCTGCTCCAGCAGCGGCCCCCGCAGTCCGCTCATCTTGCCGTCCGCGCCGCTGCCACGCAGCAGCCTCTTGCGCACAAGCTCAAGACGCAGGGCGTGCTCCTCGGGGGTGACCGGCCCGGCCCCCCCTGCCAGCAGCCCCCTCCTGGCCCCCGGGGAGTCGACGGACGCGGACTTTTTCAGTCCCGGATTCTGCGGTGGCGCCGCCGCCGCCTCCGACACGTGGTTCTCCTCGCCCGTCCAGGGCGGCAGCGCGCTGTCGGCCGAGCTCCCCCTGCGCAGACGCTCGCGACGGCGCCGCGACGGCGACTCGCTCCCGCGCGGATCCCCCGACCGCTCCTCGTCGGACGACGACGAAGACGACAACGACGAGGTGGAGCTGGCCGCCTCGCCTGACCGTTTCCGACTCCGCCGCCGTCTCCGCGCCCCCGCCGGCGACTCTGCCGGCGACGCCGAGGAGTCGAGCCCCGGGCCCGCGTCGCCTCGTTCGGCGGCAAGGAGCTGCCGCTTCGCCACCTGCGGGATGGATGCGTCACGACCGACGCGGGCGAGGGAGCGGCAGATGCCGTGTGCGAGCGTGCGAGCGTGCGAGCGTTGGCGCGGCGTCATTTACGTCCGGGTGCTGCGCGTAGTCCGGTGGTGCCGCGGCAGCCTGGCAGAGTGGCTCCGGTGGCGCCGCTCGGCACAGGGGCTCCGGGAGACGCTGCTTGAACGCGGCCATGAAGGAGGGCAGGTCCTCCGCCTCGTCCGACTCAGAGCTGGAGGACAGAGCCACGTGGTCGCCGGCGCGGCGCGGCGCCCCGAGGGAGTGCTGGCCCGGCCCCGACGCCAGCAGCTCGGGGATGGGGCGCAGCGCCAGACTCGACTTGTAGGCCACGAGGGAGCGCTGAGGGGCGGGGAAGGGGACAGCGGAGCGGGCGTCGCAACACTACGGGAACGCACGGACGCGAGCGACCACAGTGAAGCCCCGTGCGACGCGCGTGCGGGCCCTTGGAAGCCGCGCGTGATTAATTGCGAGAGCGAGGGGAGCGCACGCTCGGAGCACCTGCCACTTGCGGCGCGACAGGAAGAACTTGATCCGGTCAGTGCCGACCCGGGCCGCGTCCCGGGCGGCGGACGGCGCCACCTGTGCACGGGGCCACGGCGCGCGCCACCACGTGACGAATCAGCGGGCGTTCGGGCGCGGAGACGATATTTCCACATCTAGGCGAGCGTGCGGACCTCACGCTATGCCGATGACGACGCGTAATTATTCCTGCTCACCTGGAACCAGGGGTCATCCAGACACTCCTGGGCCGACGGCCGCTCCCTGCGCAGAAACGAGACGGTGGGGAGCGTGACGAGTACGGCTCTCATGGGGATTGCCCAGTGGTGGGGGGGGGGGGGGGGGCAGCGAGGGAAAGCCCTACAGGAGGACCTCTGCGCTGAAACCACAGTCCCCTGACAAAGCCCATGACGTGCGCATTGTCTACACAGATGGGTCATTGAATCCCCTTGCCTTGGTGCCATCTCCTGGTCACCTCACAGCCGGGTGGATTTGTTTACTACGCGGTTAAGCAACCCTTTAGCTGCCTACAAAGCGATGCATCAGAGACATCCACCACCGCGATCAGCTTTGCGACCGCACGATTATCGCATCCCCCGCATTTCAACTCCGGGGAGAAGAGAGACATCTGTTCGACGACCACCGCTGCTCTCCCCCCCCCCCACGACCACCGCTGCCCTCCCCCTCCCCCCATGACCACCGCTGCCCTCCCCCCCCCCCACGACCACCGCTGCCCTCCCCCCCCACGCCCACCGCTTGCCTGGGGTCCACCGCCAGCAGCCGAGCGATGAAGCTCCCCGCCTCTGCGCTGAGCGCCGAGAAGCAGCGCTCGAGGGAGAAGCGTCCCTCGCGAACGCGCATCAACGTCCCGCGGTCATTCTCGCCCAGGAACGGGGACGTGCCGCTCAGACTGCAGCAGCACGTGACACGTGACACGCGACACGTGACACATGACACGTGACACGCGACACATGACACGCGACACATGACACATGACACGCGACACATGACACGCAACACATGACACGACACGAGGCACGCGACATGCAACACGTGACACATGACACAACACACGACATGCGGCATACGTCACGTGAAAAATTACATGATACGAGACACGCGACATGCGACATGCAGCACATGACATGCGACACGTGACATGTGACACGCGACACGCGACAAGCGACACGCGACATGCGACACGTGACATGCGACACGTGACATGCGACACGTGACATGCGACACGTGACATGTGACACGTGACACGTGACATGCGACAAGCGGCAATTATCTCGGATGCTAATCGGCGGAGCTCGATAATTCGTGTTAAATAATAAGTAAAAAAAGAGAGAATTACGACGGGCCAATTACCGGCCGCGAGATAATGTTCGACTCACCAAATGTAGGTAATGACTCCGACGGGCCTGCAAGGACACGCATCACAATTAGCCGCGTCTCCCGCTCGCGCAATACGGCCCGACGCAAACGTCCAATTAGGCTGCGGGCGCACGCGTGCGGCGGGCGCTGCGGTGACCGAGGATCGGCCCTCCCCGGCGGCGGCGGCGGCCCCGCCGCCGGGGGCTCGTGGGCGGGGGGCGGGGGGGGCGACGGGGCCAGCTATCAAGGTCACCAGATGTCGGTTGCCGTGGACACGGGCTGCTGCAGGACGATTTCGGGCGCCACGAACTCGGGAGTCCCCGTGGCGCTGTACTGCGGCTGCCCCGGCGGCATGAGCTCCTGCGCCGAGCCCAGGTCGCAGAGCTTCACCTCCTCGGCGTCGGGTCGCGCCATCAGCACGTTCGCCTCCTGCAGATTATACGCACGCAACAACACGCACAAAGATGCCCCGTATAGGCTGTTGGGGAAAATGCTTTCAGCGAGCACTATGAAGGCCGTACGGTACGTGCGGGGGGTGGGTGGCCAGCATCACCCCCGACCGCCTGTGTTTATACACCGCACCAGGTACTTATTTAAGGCAGAGTCGACCTAGGGTAAGCCCAAGAACCCGGTTTAGATTAATTGTCACTGGTGTTTGTCGTGAGCGGGAATTGAACTCGGGTGGCCGGGTTCGTAGCGCAGCGCACTAACCACTACACTACCGCTCCCCACATCGCGCAATCACGCATACGAGTACACACACGGGTCATGCACGTGCGCGCACACGCACGCGTACACACAATTACACACACACGCACACACGCTTGCATAGACACACATGTGCACACACGTATATGCACACGAGTACACATCCTGTACCTACTTTGACAAGATTCTAAAAAATCTGGACTCTGTATTTCCTTGCCACCCCCAGGGCACGAGTGTGCTTCCAAGTGCCCCCAGGGCACTAATGGACTGTGTCGTGCCCTTAGGGCACTAGTGTGCTTGTAGTACCCCCAGGGCACTAGTGTGGTGTGTAGTGCTCCCAGGGCACCTTGATGTCCAAGTGCAGCACGCCGGACTGGTGTAGGTAGTGCACGCCCTCCAGGATCTGGCGGATGTAGGGATGCACCTGCCAGAGAGGAGACGCAACATCAGCTGCAGCGGCCGCGTGGTGACGATGATGTCGATGCTGATGGTGTGAGAGACCCATTGAGGGAGATATCTGTTTGGTGATTTCTCCAAGTCAGCAGCCCACCCCGCCCACCTGCAGCTCAGAGATCGCAGGCTTCTTCACCAGGCGGTCCAGGAGTTCCTCGCCCGAGCAGCTGGAGGCCGAGGTCAAGGGAGGACAAGGCCGAGCGACATGGGCGGACTGGGCGGCGCCGATGGCTATCGTGGTGGTGGCAGACTGACGACGACTACGATGACGCCGCTGGAAGCGGTCAATGATGACGACGGTCGCTTATGACGGCGATGGTGGCGGCGTTACGATGATGCCTATTAGCGATTCCAGTCGGTCATCAGGAGGACCGCGGGGTCCCACTGGGCGAGCGGGGGTGGCGGGGGCGCGGAGGAGGAGGAGGTGTCGGTGCGTGGCTCGGCTCGAGGATACAGCTCGGTGAGGATGATGAGACGCCGCCTGGTTTGGAAGGCGTCCCTCAGGCAGGCGAGGCGTGGGTGCGACACCCTGGCGAGGATGCGTAGCTCGCGCTGCGCCTCGCTCCGCCGCCCTCCCGCGCGCGACACGAACTTAGCCGCCACCTCCAGGCCCGTGGTGCGGTGCACGGCTCGGCGCACCACCGAGAAGGTGCCCCTGGGACCGAGACGCGAGCGCCGTGAGCGCCGCGAGCACAGGGTCGTCCGCATCGCGCCACCGGAGCGACTTTACAACGTGCCGGCTTCTCACCTGCCGATCTCCTCCTTGACGTCGTAGTAGTCGGAAACCGTGCGCAGCCTGCACATCAGATCCTCCTCGTCCTCATGGGGCTCCCTGACTGTAGGCGCACAGCGAGCGGCGGTCACCGCCTCGGGGCATGCGACTCGTCTCGAGTTTGTGTCGTGAGCTGGTGAGTTTGTATCGTGAGCTGGTGAGTTTGTGTCGTGAGCTGGTGAGTTTGTGTCGTGAGCTGGTGAGTTTGTGTCGTGAGCTGGTGAGTTTGTGTCGGGAGCTGGTGAGTTTGTGTCGTGAGCTGGTGAGTTTGTGTCGTGAGCTGGTGAGTTTGTGTCGTGAGCTGGTGTGTTTGTGTCGTGAGCTGGTGAGTTTGAATTGTGAGCTGGTGAGTTTGTGTCGTGAGCTGGTGAGTGTGAATTGTGAGCTGGTGAGTTTGAATTGTGAGCTGGTGAGTTTGTATCGTGAGCTGGTGAGTTTGTGTCGTGAGCTGGTGTGTTTGTGTCGTGAGCTGGTGAGTTTGAATTGTGAGCTGGTGAGTTTGTGTCGTGAGCTGGTGAGTGTGAATTGTGAGCTGGTGAGTTTGAATTGTGAGCTGGTGAGTTTGTATCGTGAGCTGGTGAGTTTGTGTCGTGAGCTGGTGAGTTTGTGTCGTGAGCTGGTGAGTTTGTGTCGTGAGCTGGTGAGTTTGAATTATGAGCTGGTGAGTTTGTATTGTGAGCTGGTGAGTTTGTATCGTGAGTTGGTGAGTTTGTGTCGTGAGCTGGTGAGATTGTGTCGTGAGCTGGTGAGTTTGTGTCGTGAGCTGGTGAGTTTGTGTCGTGAGCTGGTGAGTTTGTATCGTGAGCTGGTGAGTTTGAATTGTGAGCTGGTGAGTTTGTATCGTGAGCTGGTGAGTTTGTATCGTGAGCTGGTGAGTTTGAATTGAGAGCTGGTGAGTTTGTATCGTGAGCTGGTGAGTTTGTATCGTGAGCTGGTGAGTTTGTATCGTGAGCTGGTGAGTTTGTATCGTGAGCTGGTGAGTTTGAATTGTGAGCTGGTGAGTTTGAATTGTGAGCTGGTGAGTTTGAATTGTGAGCTGGTGAGTTTGTATCGTGAGCTGGTGAGTTTGTATCGTGAGCTGGTGAGTTTGTATTGTGAGCTGGTGAGTTTGTATCGTGAGCTGGTGAGTTTGTGTCGTGAGCTGGTGAGTTTGAATTGTGAGCTGGTGAGTTTGAATTGTGAGCTGGTGAGTTTGTATCGTGAGCTGGTGAGTTTGAATTTTGAGCTGGTGAGTTTGTGTCCCAGGGTGGTGAGTTTGTGTCGTGAGCTGGTGAGTTTGTATCGTGAGCTGGTGAGTTTGTATCGTGAGCTGGTGAGTTTGTATCGTGAGCTGGTGAGTTTGTATCGTGAGCTGGTGAGTTTGTATCGTGAGCTGGTGAGTTTCAATTGTGAGCTGGTGAGTTTGTATCGTGAGCTGGTGAGTTTGTGTTGTGAGCTGGTGAGTTTGTATCGTGAGCTGTGAGTTTGAATTGTGAGCTGGTGAGTTTGTATCGTGAGCTGGTGAGTTTGAATTGTGAGCTGGTGAGTTTGTATCGTGAGCTGGTGAGTTTGAATTGTGAGCTGGTGAGTTTGTATCGTGAGCTGGTGAGTTTGAATTGTGAGCTGGTGAGTTTGTGTCGTGAGCTGGTGAGTTTGTATGGTGAACTGGTGAGTTTGAATTGTGAGCTGGTGAGTTTGAATTGTGAGCTGGTGAGTTTGAATTGTGAGCTGGTGAGTTTGTATCGTGAGCTGGTGAGTTTGTGTCGTGAGCTGGTGAGTTTGTGTCCCAGGGTGGTGAGTTTGTGTCCCAGGGTGGTGAGTTTGTGTCCCAGAGTGGTGAGTTTGTGTCCCAGGGTGGTGACCCTGTGAGTGCCGTGCGGTGCCCCACCGGAGCACACGCTCAGCTCGGCCTTGCAGCTGCACTCCCCGGCCGGGTTGCGTGCCACGCACGTGTACACGCCGCAGTCGGCCTGGCTCACGCTCAGGATCACCAGCGAGCACTCGGCGTCGTCGTACACGAACGACACGTGGCTGCTCTCCGCCAGTAGCGCGTCATCCTGCCGCGTTGGGGGGGGAAGGGGTCCGGGTGGGAAACACGGGGGTCACGCCGTGTTCCACGCCGCACACGCGTGCGTCTCACGCGTGTACGTCACGCGTGACGCGTGAAGTTCACGCGTGTGCCTCACGCCTCCCGCACCCTCCGCTGGCGCGCACCTTGAACCAGAGCACGTCCGGCAGGGGAATCCCCTCGACCACCACCGCCAACCTGGCGCTCTCCCCGGGCACCACATCCACGTCCTCCATGATCTCGTCGAAACGAGGGGCCTCTGTGAGCGGCACACACGGGTCAAGGCAGCCGAGGGGCGAGGACGCGGAGGAGGAGGAGGGGAGAGGCTGGGGGCAGGGGGGGGTGGGCACTCACCCGCCAGCTGCACGCTGACGGTGCAGCTCGCCACGCCGAGCGTGTTCTCGGCGAGGCACACGTACTCCCCCAGGTGGCGCCGCGTCACGGCCGCGATGTCGAGCGAGAACGAGTCCTCGTCGTGGGTGCCCAGGCTGTAGCCGTCCCTGTGCAGCTGCACCGGGATCCCGTCCCTGCGAGGGCGAGCGCGGGTGAGCGGGGGCGCGGGTGAGCGGGGGTGAGCGGGGGCGCGGGTGAGCGGGGGCGCGGGTGAGCGGGGGCGCGGGTGAGCGGGGGTGAGCGGGGGCGCGGGTGAGCGGGGGCGCGGGTGAGCGGGGGTGAGCGGGGGTGCGGGTGAGCGGGGGCGCGCGCACGTGAGCGCTCCCGCCGACACCGGTGGCGCCGGGGCGCGGACTGGTCGGGGGCCGGGGAGCGGAGTTTGGCGAGCGCTGCCGACGATTTCCCCCCCTCCCCCCGAGTTACGCGAGGCCGTGCCTGGTCCAGCTGAGCGCGGCGGCCACGTGGTTGATGGAGTAGTTGAGGCTGGCGGCTCCGCGCTCCGCCACGAACAGCGCCTCGGGAACCTCCACAAAGCGCGGCGCCTCCTCCTGGAAGGGCCCTGCGCTCGTGCGCACACGGAGGGCGCGCCCGTCAGCCCCGCGTCCCCCCGTCCCTCGCGGGGGCCCGCGTCGCGGGCCGCCGACGGCGCCCGAGCGCGGGGGCGGCGCGAGAGGCACTGACGTTGCGGGGCGAGGGCGACGGGCGCGGAGGCGCGGGACGGCCGGCTGGCGCCCGCGGGGCAGAGCGCCAGCACGCGGAAGCGGAGCGGCGCCGCCGTCGGGAGCCGCTGCACGGTGCGGGCGGTGCCCACGAGGCCCGAGGCGAGGAGGCGCCAGTCGGAGGCGGCGCCCTCCTCCCGCCACTCGAGCGAGTAGGTGAGGGACGCCGGGTCTGCGGAGAGAGCGCACAGCCACCGTGTCTGAGCGGTGCTCATCTGTTTATGACTCGCGGTGTAAATTCCACATTCCTACGGGATGGGTGAGTGTCTTCATTCGACAACGAGTCTTGACTTCGCCACAAAGTGGTACTCATTTGATCGACTCCACCCGGATGATGAGCCGAATCAATCCCCAGCCCGGAATGTACATGAAGTCCCCGACTTAAAACGCGAACTCGCAATTGCAAACTGAATTGTGGAACTATTTTGTTCAGAGGAGCGACCCTCCGCGAGATGTGATGAGTCGGCTTCGCGCTGCGAGTGTGTGCGCGTGTGTGCGCTGTGAGCGTGTGTGTGCTGTGAGTGTGTGAGTGTGTGCGCGTGTATGCGAGTGTGTGCGCATGTGTGCGCGTGTGTGCGCTGTGAGTGTGTGCGCTGTGAGTGTGTGTGTGCGCGTGTGTCGCTGTGAGTATGTGCGCGTGTGTGTGAGTGTGTGCGTGTGTGTGCACGCGTGGACGTGTGTGTGAAAATGTGAGTGTGTGTGTGGAGCGGTAGTGTAGCAGGGCGCTGCGCTATGAAAGCGGTGACCCGATTTTGATTCTTGCTCACGGCCAACACCAGTACCTGGTGTGTAAACATCACCACCGGGGAGACAAAGGCGGCCGGGCGTGGTCTTGGCCACCCACTCCCTCGTGTGCCGTACCGGCCTTCATAGGTGCTCGCTAACAGCACTTGCTCCTACGGTCTGTTAAGGCTACAGGGGGGATCGTTGTTGTTGGGGTGTCTTTGTGCACGCGTGCCCCGTGTGTGTGTGTGTCTCACACCCCGTGTGTGTGTGTCTCACACCCCGTGTGTGTGTGTGTCTCACACCCTGTGTGTGTGTCTCACACCCCGTGTGTGTGTGTGTCTCACACCCCGTGTGTGTGTGTCTCACACCCCGTGTGTGTGTCGCACACCCCGTGTGTGTGTCTCACACCCCGTGTGTGTGTGTGTCTCACACCCCGTGTGTGTGTGTGTCTCACACCCTGTGTGTATGTGTGTCTCACACCCCGTGTGTGTGTGTGTCTCACACCCCGTGTGTGTGTGTCTCACACCTCGTGTGTGTGTGTCTCACACCCCGTGTGTGTGTGTGTCTCACACCCCGTGTGTGTGTGTGTCTCACACCCCGTGTGTGTGTGTGTCTCACACCCCGTGTGTGTGTGTCTCACACCCTGTGTGTGTGTGTCTCACACCCCGTGTGTGTGTGTCTCACACCCCGTGTGTGTGTGTCTCACACCCCGTGTGTGTGTGTCTCACACCCCGTGTGTGTGTGTCTCACACCCCGTGTGTGTGTGTCTCACACCCCGTGTGTGTGTGTCTCACACCCCGTGTGTGTGTGTGTGTCTCACACCCCGTGTGTGTGTGTGTGTCTCACACCCCGTGTGTGTGTGTCTCACACCCCGTGTGTGTGTCTCACACCCCGTGTGTGTGTCTCACACCCCGTGTGTGTGTGTCTCACACCCCGTGTGTGTGTCTCTCACACCCCGTGTGTGTGTCTCTCACACCCCGTGTGTGTGTGTGTCTCTCACACCCCGTGTGTGTGTGTGTCTCTCACCCCGTGTGTGTGTGTGTGTCTCACACCCCGTGTGTGTGTGTGTGTCTCACACCCCGTGTGTGTGTGTGTGTCTCACACCCCGTGTGTGTGTGTGTGTGTCTCACACCCCGTGTGTGTGTGTGTGTCTCACACCCCGTGTGTGTGTGTGTGTCTCACACCCCGTGTGTGTGTGTGTGTGTCTCACACCCCGTGTGTGTGTGTGTGTCTCACACCCCGTGTGTGTGTGTGTGTCTCACACCCCGTGTGTGTGTGTGTGTCTCACACCCCGTGTGTGTGTGTGTCTCACACCCCGTGTGTGTGTGTGTCTCACACCCCGTGTGTGTGTGTGTCTCACACCCCGTGTGTGTGTGTGTCTCACACCCCGTGTGTGTGTGTGTCTCACACCCCGTGTGTGTGTGTCACACCCCGTGTGTGTGTGTGTCACACCCCGTGTGTGTGTGTGTCACACCCCGTGTGTGTGTGTGTCACACCCCGTGTGTGTGTGTGTCACACCCCGTGTGTGTGTGTGTGTGTCACACCCCGTGTGTGTGTCCACTTGTGGCGACTCACTGCCCCGCTTCCGACTACAAGCGAGCATTAGGAGGCAAGGTAAGTGGAAATAAAATGGTTATTTTCTATTCATGTTACTCTATGTTATGTTAAATTTACTATACAGCCTTTTTTTACAGTGTTACGCGCACATGTATAAAATTCCTTCTTAACTATGAGTGGAACAATGCTTCCCGTTTTGTTGAACCGTAACAGATGGGCATTTCAATACAGTGCATTACTGTGCTCCGACTTACGAACCGTCCGACTTACGAACGGTTCGAATTCGGTTCGTAACCCGAGGACTGCCTGTACAGGAAAACTTCTCCGAGCGCTGCGCTAAGCGCCGAGCCACCGAGCCGGATCACAGCGTCACGTTTCCCAGCCAGGAGGACCTCGAGCAGAGGAGCAGCAGCAGCAGCTGTAGCTGCTGTGCCACTGGGGTCGCAGTGGTTCGTAAGCGAGGCCCTCGGGTTGAAGAATTAAACACGCCAGCGCATCTCGATGCCAAAATGTGCAAATTGCTACTCGCGCGCACGGCAACCAGACGAAGAGGACGCTGCTATTTTAACTGTGGCACAACCGTTCAATTATAGCGCTGATTGGCTCTAAGAATAACCCGTGAGTGAATGTCCCACGGCGCCGGGCCTCACCGATGGAGGGGGGCACTCGTCGTGGGGGGCTCCACGTGACGGTGAGGGCGCGGCTCCACACGGAGCTCACCAGGGGCGCGCTCTCGGGGGGCTCCAGCATCATATCTGTGGAGGAGGGTGCGCGGGAGGGACGTGGGGGGAGGGGGGCGTGTTGGAAAGAGGGGGAGGGGAAAGAGGGAGGGTGCAGGGGAGAAAGGGGGGCGGGGGGAGGAGGGGGTGTAGGGAGGAGGGGGTGTGGGGGTAAGAGGGGGGAGGGGATGTGGGGAGAAAGGGGGGCGGGGGGAGAGAAGGGGGAGGGGGTGTGGGGAGAAGGGGCGGGGTAGAGTGGGGGGAGGGGGTGTCGGAAAGAAGATGTGGGGGTGAGAGAGGGAGGGGGGAGATGGGTGGGGATGTGGGGGGGATGTGGGGGGGAGATGGGGTGGGGAGATGTGGGGGGGGGGATGTGGGGGGGGGAGATGTGGGGGGGGGATGTGGGGGGGGGAGATGTGGGGGGGAGATGTGGGGGGGATGTGGGGGGGAGATGTGGGGGGGGGAGATGTGGGGGGGGGATGTGGGGGGGGAGATGTGGGGGGGGGATGTGGGGGGGGGATGTGGGGGGGGGATGTGGGGGGGGAGATGTGGGGGGGGATGTGGGGGGGATGTGGGGGGGGGATGTGGGGGGGGGATGTGGGGGGGATGTGGGGGGGAGATGTGGGGGGGGAGATGTGGGGGGGGATGTGGGGGGGGGGATGTGGGGGGGGATGTGGGGGGGGGATGTGGGGGGGGAGATGTGGGGGGGTAGATGTGGGGGGGATGTGGGGGGGAGATGGGGTGGGGAGATGGGGTGGGGAGATGTGGGGGGGGATGTGGGGGGGGGATGTGGGGGGGGAGATGTGGGGGGGGATGTGGGGGGGGGAGATGTGGGGGGGGATGTGGGGGGGGGGATGTGGGGGGGAGATGTGGGGGGGGATGTGGGGGGGAGATGGGGTGGGGAGATGTGGGGGGGGATGTGGGGGGGGGATGTGGGGGGGGGATGTGGGGGGGGGGAGATGTGGGGGGGGGAGATGTGGGGGGGGATGTGGGGGGGGGATGTGGGGGGGGGATGTGGGGGGGGGATGTGGGGGGGGGAGATGTGGGGGGGAGATGTGGGGGGGGATGTGGGGGGGATGTGGGGGGGGGGGAGATGTGGGGGGGAGATGGGGTGGGGAGATGTGAGGGGGGAGAGATGTGGGGGGGAGATGGGGTGGGGAGATGTGGGGGGGGGAGATGTGGGGGGGGGAAAGGTGTGGGGGGAGATGTGGGGGGGGAGATGTGGGGGGAGAGATGTGGGGGGGGATGTGGGGGGGGAGATGTAGGGGGGGAAAGGTGGGGGGGGGGAGATGTGGGTGGGTGGAAGTTGGCGATGCCGGGTGCGAGAGAAGAGGCGCGTGGTGCGTCAAAGCCCTGCGTGCGTGCACGGAACGCTCCCACCCCCACCCCGCCCACCCCCCTACCCGAGACGTAGAGATGCGCGTACGAGGTGGCCTTGCCCACTTTGTTGGCGACCACGCACTTGTAGACGCCGCCGTGGGCGCGCGAAGCCGGCTTGACGATCAGGCAGAAGGTGTCTTTCTCTGTCGCACACGCGCCCACACGCACACGACGGTCTGCACCCGCGGCGCCTCGCACGCGCTCCCGGGAACCCGCGCCCGGCAGGGAACTCCGTCGGAAAAAGTTGCGGGCTGCGTTGCTCACTCTCGGCCATGCTGATGGTGGCCGTGCGCTCCAGGCGCACGCCGTGGTGGTACCAGGCGGCCGTGGGCCGCGGGGTGCCCGTGACCCGGCACTCCAGGGTGGCGCGAGCCCCCTCCGACACGTCCTGGTCGCGCAGCGGGCGGGTGAAGTCCGGCATGGTGCACAGCTCCGGCTCGGGGTCCGGCTCCGGCTCCTCTGGGATTGAAGGCATTTTCTCCAGCTTCGCCCTGGGGCGAGGGGTCGAGAGGGAATCCGCGGAGGTGATGAGGGGCGAGGTGTGAGAGGGGGGGCTGGGCTCGAGTCACGCCCTCTGCCGATAACAGTCCCGATCACAGTGCTCGCAGCGCCACTCCGCGGGGCTCTTCCACGGCGAGCGAATCGCGACGTTGTGGTGGCGGCGGCGGCGACGATGGCAGCGGCGGCGGGATAATTCGGCGAGGCCACGCGGGCAGTGAGCGAGGCGACGGAGCGAGAGGGCGACACTCACATGGGCGAGGGCAGCGGCCGCGGCTCCTCCACGTAGAGCTCGGCGCGGCAGCTCGCCCGGCCGTGCGCGTTCGAGGCCACGGCCGCGTACTCCCCCTCGGCGTCCGCGCTCACGCGCGCGATCAGCAGCGAGTGCAGCCCCCGCTCGCTCAGCACCCGCAGCGCCTCGCAATCGCACAGCTCCTGGTCTGCGGGGGTGGAGGAGGTGGGTGGGAGAGCGGCTCACGGCACCAGCCGCGCGTCGTTTGAACCTCCCATCGCCGAGCGCCCCGTGTAGCTACATTTAGGCAGGGAGGGCGGCAGCCCCACGGCCCCCCCCCCCCACGGCCCCCCACCCCCACGCCCTTGGAACGCACGCGATGCCTCGCAGCGGGGATGTAACGGTACGAAAATACAGTCGCGATCCGCGCAGGGATGTCTCATTTACATGTCGGCTCCCGCGGCGAGCGAGACGGCCCACCTGCCACTCGCGACAAGCAACGCCGACGCAGCGGCCGGCAAGCCACGGGCAGCCGCCCCAGCAGCTGCCGGTGACGGCGCCTTGGCACGACGCACCTGCAGGGCGGCCAAGGCACTCGCAGAACGCAGCGCAGCAAGTCGGTATCACGAACGATGCGCGCGTGCGGGGTTTCGTCGTTTATGGTGATTTGCTCGGGCCTGTCCGCGGAATAACTCCGATAAATAATACAGAAGGCATAGCGCTCCCAGTGGTGTACAAGGACAAAGCCTCCCCATCATCACGAACACAGCCGTACCACACCGGCAACGCTATCGTGTAATAGGCCGACTTCAAACTCGCAGGAATTCCGAGTGTAGTCAATGTCTCCGCCCTCTTTCTGCTCTGAATAAGATCCATTCCCCCAGGACACTGATTGAGCTGCTGTATCCGCCCGTGTCGTCACGACGGGCTATTGAAGAGCGCGCCGATATTGTAAATGTTTATTCGTGGTACTTGTCCGCTATGACGGACCCCTCTGCGGTGTCGATGTAGGCGACGAAAGACCCGAATGGTTGGGGCAGGCCACGGATGCTGGTGTCAACCTTACAGCTTGCAGCGGCGGCAAGGAAAGGCGTTCCACGGTGTGCGGTGGCATCGATGGCTTTGATGACCTCTTCACCTTGAACTTGCCCTAGACGATGGGGGGCGTGCGTATGCGAGCATGTGATTGTGCCACGTGGGAGCGGGAAGGTCGGGCTCCACGCACCGTAGTGGAACCAGGTCACAGTGGGCGCCGGGCTCCCGCTCACTCTGCAGTCGAGACGCCCAGGGCGCCCCTCCATCACGTCCACATCTCCCAGGCAGGTGGTGAAGAGCGGCTCCCGGGACGGGGTCACGGTCAGCTGCGCGCTGGTCATGATCTCGTCTGTGCGGGGCGTGGGGAATGGGGGAGCGTGGCGTGTGGCACGTGGCGTGTGGCGCGGGGAGCGTGGCATGGGGAGCGGGGAGCGTGGCACGTGGTGTGTGGCACGGGGAGCGTGGCGTGTGGCACGTGGCGTGTGGCATGGGGAGCGTGGCATGGGGAGCGGGGAGCGTGGCACGTGGTGTGTGGCACGGGGAGCGTGGCGTGTGGCACGGGGAGCGTGGCATGGAGAGCGGGGGGCGTGGCACGTGGTGTGTGGCACGGGGAGCGGGGAGCGTGGCACGTGGCATGGGGAGCGGGGAGCGTGGCACGTGGCGTGTGGCACTTGGCGTGTGGCATGGGGAGCGTGGCATGGGGAGCGGGGAGCGTGGCGTGTGGCACGTGGCGTGTGGCGCGGGGAGCGGGGAGCGTGGCACGTGGCGTGTGGCACGTGGCGTGTGGCACGGGGAGCGTGGAATGGGGAGCGTGGCATGGGGAGCGGGGAGCGTGGCACGTGGCGTGTGGCATGGGGAGCGTGGCATGGGGAGCGTGGCACGTGGCGTGTGGCATGGGGAGCGTGGCGTGTGGCACGTGGCGTGTGGCACGGGGAGCGTGGCGTGTGGCACGTGGCGTGTGGCACGGGGAGCGGGGGGCGTGGCACGTGGCGTGTGGCACGGGGAGCGGGGGGCGTGGCACGTGGCGTGTGGTTCGGGGGAGCGAGGTGCGTGGTGCGGCACGCCACCGCGGGCACGTGGCGACAAGCAGCACACGCAGCGCGTACACACCGCACACGCAGCACATAGGGAACAATTAAAGAGCACACGCGGTGCACACACAGCACGTAAAGAGCGGACACAGACCACACACAGCGGAGGCCAACGGCAAGCACGGTAACAGAGTGCACGCGGAGAGAGAAAGCACACACAGGGATACGTGGTAAGAAACCCCGCTCGCGTGCACGACAAACAGAACCACGCACGGCACAACCCAAGCGAAAACCGAGCCAATGAAGCATTTCCAAAACCCAGTGTCCCCTTCGGGAGATACACAAGGGGCTCGTCGTGCGTGCAGAATATCGAAGCAAGAGGCTGAAACATTGCGCTCCAGGCCCCTGGCATGAGACTCGGATTCCGACCTCGATCCCCTTGAGTGCCGAGCTGTGATGGGAGTGGGATGGTGGGATCAGGGATGGGGGTCGGGGGGGGGCACCCTTGGCGGTGCTGAGCTTGCACGAGTAGACTCCAGAGTCGTCCTCATGCACCGAGGCCACCACGAGGCAGCAGCGCGTCCCGTCGAAGTGCATCTTGCAGCTGAGCAGCGCGGGCTGCACCAGGCGCCCGTCCTTGAGCCAGTCGACGTCCGTGTCGGGGGGCCCGCTCACCGCGCACTCCAGTCGCACCTCGTCGCCCGCGTGCGCGCTCGCGGGCCGCAGGGGCATGAGGAAGGCGAGGGCCTCCTCGCTGGGGGGCTCTGAAGGGCACGGCAGGGAGAGGTGCAGCAGGGCACGGGGCATCGGACTGTGTTTCGGCCACACCCCTTGTCTGGCCGCCCTTGCCCCACTCCCCCCCCACACCTTCCCCCCCTCACCCCCGCGAGCAGCACCTGTGACACGCAGGAACGCGTGGCTCTGGCTGACCCCGGCCATGCCGTGAGCGCGGCACGTGTAGGTGCCCGCGTCCGTGGCCTCCACTTTGAGCAGCG